TCTTTCAGGGTCGACAGACCCTCTCCCAGACTTGTTCTCAGGGTCGCCAAATTTCAAAAAAAAAAAAAAAAAAAAAAAACTTATGAAAAGATAGAGAATCTTTTCCTGATCATAATGACACCAAAAGTATGAAACTTGATGGAAAACTTACGGAATTATGCTCTCACAAAGTTAGCGGTCTCGACGATGTTTACGCATCGGTGATTTTGCCCACTTTGAGCCCTATTTTTGGCCAATTCCAGTGTACTAGTTGACAAAAATCATAACTATATCGCTAGAACTCCATTTTTTCTATCGAATGAGTACAGGAAACCACCCATTTATCTATTTCAACTATCCAATAAAGTGGTCAGAATTTAGCAATTTTGCCAATTTCACACAAATTTCAAAAGATGCCAATTTTTAAATAGGGTCCAGAATAAACAAGAAAGACATTCCTGGCACTAAAATAACATTTCCTCTGCTCATTAGTCACATCCCCAGGCCCCTCTTACATTTCTTTTGCTTTCCACTTTGAATTTTTATTCTCACAAAAAATAGAAGATTTACTGTTATGCACACTACTGTATTAGTGTAGAAATGATATAAATAATATCAGCGCACTTGTGAAATGAATATTAGATTCACCAGTTGACATGTATTGAACATGTGGCACGATTTGTTTACTTTTGAACTTTGGCAAAAATCGAACATTTCTGTTACTTTGAGCTCAATTTCAAGGTACTTTTCATTGTGAAACCAATCAAAATCGTCTCAATTTCTGTAATATGTCTTCCATTCTATAAAATAAGACCAGGAAAACTAGAATACAACCATAAATATCATACGAAAATACGGTGCAAAGTCGCTGCTTTAAACCAAAAACACGGTCAAAGTTTTTTTTTTTCTCATTACGCACTGTGTGCTGCAGGATTTTTTTTTATACTGCGCACACTGACCACATAGACCCATTCTTTCATATGTAGGCCTACCAGCTTTCTCTTGCTAGATTTGAGGGCGCTAGAATTTATGCGTACTAGTACATCAAAAACCCTGGCGCGTAAGCCATACTAGTATACATCGGAAACCCTGAAAGGGTTAAAATAGAATTTGTTGACTTTTGTGTAAAACTGACCAAATTACTGACTTATGTGAACTTTATATGGTAGTTCTTATAGTGGAATAGGCAGTTTCTTGTGCTCAGTCAATAGAAGAGAAGTTATAATAGCAAAATTGCTAGAATTGGGTCAAATTGAGCAATGGAACTGGCTTAAAATAGGCTTCAAAAGAGGCAAAATTGCTGAAGCAAAACTTATGCCTGGACTGCCAACCTAGTGCCAGCATAATTCTGTAAGTTTTCCATCAAATTTTGCATTTTTGGTGTCATTACTCATAAAAATTCACCTTTTCTAAATTGTGACACTGTTAGAACTTTTAATTTTGGGGGTGACAGTGAAAGGGTTAAAAAAAAAAAGTGACAACAGAAGGTAAGAAAGAGCAGACACAGGGTGACACAAGACATTTAAGAAAAAGGCTGAAACAAAATGAGAGAGAGAGAGAAGAGAGAGAGAGAGAGAGAGAGAGAGAGAGAGAGAAGAGAAGAGAGAGACAGAGAGAGAGACGAGAGACAGAGAGAGGACAGAGAGAGAGAAGAGAGAGAGACAGAGACAGAGAGACAGAGAGACAGAGAGAGACAGAGACAGAGAGAGAAGAGAGAGACAGAGAGAGAGAGACAGAGAGAGAGACAGAGAGAGACAGAGAAGAGAGAGAGAGAGAGAGAGAGAGAGACAGAGAGAGAGAGCAGAGAGACAGAGAGAGACAGAGCAGAGAGAGACAGAGAAGAGAGAGAGACAGAGAGACAGAGAGAGAGACAGAGACAGAGAGAGAGACAGAGAGAGAGAGAGAGAGAGAGACAGAGAGAAGAGACAGAGGAGACAGGAGACGGAGAGGAGAGAGAGAGAAGAGACAGAGAAGAGAGACAGGAAGGAACAGAGAAGAGAGAGAGAGACAGAGAGAGAGACAGGAGACAGAGAGAGAGACAGAGACGAGAGAGAGAGACAGAGACGAGAGAAGAGAGAGAAGAGAGAGAGACAGAGACGAGAGAGAGAGAGAGAGAGAGAGAGAGAGAGAGAGAGAGACAGAGACAGAGAGAGAGACAGAGACAGAGAACCATCAATGATAAGGGCAACATAAATGATGTTTGTAAATTCAGATGACTTCTGTGAACATACTGAAAGCATTATTTTTGGGATGCATTAGACTGTAAGCACATGCTGATGAGAGACCTTACAGCATGCTAGCACTAACAGCAGACTTGACCACATCCACACTCTGTGAGGATGCTACAAGTTTATAAGACTTCTTTTGCTTTACATGACAAGTGTAGCTGATACTACATATAGCCATTTTTGGTACAGGTACTACACTGGGTATACCAATACCAAAAGAATGATGGGTAGAGACACCAGTGCAACACTTTGGACATTTTATTAAGGAAATGTTTTACTCACTAAGGGTTTTGTCAATCTCATAAAGAGTTTACTGAAAACAGGGCTTAGATAGTGGAAAGACCTCTGGTGAAGTGGTGAGAGAGAGGTCAGTGAAAGTGGAAAGAAAGGTCAGTTAAAGTAGAGGGAGGTCAGGTAAAACAGAGAGAGGTTAGGTCATGTGGTGGTAGTGTGTGATGCAAGGGCAGGGCCATGTTATCTGATTACAGTGTTTTGCTGTGGTAAAATCTTCACAAGTACATCAGATATACAGAATATCTCCAAGTTTTGCAAGAGTGTGTCAAATATTGCTATCATGGCTGCCTCTAAACAATGCCATTTCTGTAGGTCATCTTTTATTACCAGATTGGCTTAATCCAATCTCATGAGATGCCTGTGTGTACTACAATGCATCACACATGATTTGCCCTGACTGTCACTGCTGCATGTATGCTTATTTTCCATAATTTGTTGTTCCAAGGTTATAGATATCTTGCCTACATGTACTCTACTGCATGCTGCATGTACCAGTTTCAGTCTTGACTGCTCATAATGGTGGGCACTGGAGCTTGTTATAATGACACTGTTTTCAACTAGTACTCTAAAAATGTTGCCGGCTTTGTTGTTGATGGTGGAGAGGAGGATGTATCGAGTAGCTGCTCTCTCACATACAGCAGTCTTAATGATGCAAAGGGTGCACTTTCTATGGTCAGAGATAAAGCATAGTGGGAAGTGTAGGCAGCAGACTATTTGTGTAATGTAGTCACACTCCTCTTTGAGGAACTGTGGCTGGCAATCCTGTGTGCTCTCAAGAAACCAATGATTATGCCTCTCATGGTTCTGGTGTCATAGAATGATTAGATATGAATGAAGTTGTCCTTTTTAGCTGGTTTCCTGCATACTTTACAGATTAGTACGTCATCACCTGCGTTCAAGAGGACATCTAGGAATAGAAAATTTGCTCTGAATAACCAGAGGATTTCTATAAAGTATATCCTAAACAAATTGTGAATAATATTTTGAAGAAATAAAGCTTATCATTTACCATAAATTGTTTGGTGGGCTCCACAACAACACAGTGGCTGCTTTACAGAGATTACACATT